AGTGGGCCTGAATATACAAGAGCAAAAGGGCAAAAGATTCAACACAAAGCTGGAGTTGAAGCCAGAGACTAGATCAAATAAGACCTTTAAGATCATGTTAGGAATTCTGGTCTTTATCGGAAGGGAAGCAGGAAGTCACCCAAAGCTGGAGAGAGGTAGAATTAGATTTACATGCACCCATCGTTTGAAGTCAGTGAGTTTTCATTCAGCATTTAACCGGTGTTGTGAAAACTGCTCTACGGATTTAGAAGTCATATAGGACATGGTCTCGGCTCTCAATATCTGGTGTTTGGGAGGAAATGGAATGTGGGTCAAAGCATGGAGGCAGGAACAATACAGTCTTGGGAAGATAACAGCTAAAGCATCTTTACTTACTTTATCATAGCTGATGTGAGCTGATGCACAGAGTTTGGTTTTGCTCTTCTTTGAAAATGTTTAAGGAAGGGTCATTGACAAATAGGAGTCATAATCAATAATTCTGTCCACTGAAACTTTCTGTCTGTTCACAGATCAGGCACCACACAAGCAACTACGCATCCAACTCCACTTCCTTACCCCACCGGTGCTCCTCAACATTGATGTGCAGTGACCATTTGGAAAGGTGAGATTGAGGAGCTGCTGAGGTTTACAGCTTAGCCTTGTCCCATCTCTCTGTTCTGATCTGAGCTCGTGCTGCAAAGGCAGAGTATCCCTAAGAAATAAAATGGAAATTAAGCATGCATATTTGATTAAGGAGGACTACGTTTCTTAGAGGAACTGTTGCTATTTTTATCATTTCACTTAAATTTCCTCCAACTAAGAAATTTCTGAAACTGGCTCCAGTCTGATCTTGTGACAGATCAACTCTTGTCTTGTCTTGAAAGAGCCTGCTTGTCACTGATTTTTTATAGTAAGAACCGTCTTCAGGAGTATTTTAAGGCAAAGTTACCCCTGTTTTAAATAGACCTCAAATCTCAGACTGTTTACAATATGGTTAGCATACTTGTGCTCGCCCTTTTGATTAGATCTATTTTGTATAAAACATGTATTTCAATGAATGAACACTCTAGAAAGCAGAGCATAATACCAAATGTGATGCACAGTGGGCCATACTAAATTTTGAACATTAGTGTTCTCCCTCAAACACCTCTTTTCAATATTTCTGTTATTGACTGTAGGGTTGATTGAATGAATGACCTCTGAGTATTATGGCTTGTGTGACCTTTTCTGTTTTAATAAGAGAATGTGAGAAGTTCCACACTTTGCTTTTCAAATAAGTTGAACTCCTCAATTTAATGGAAAGTCAATGTGTTCATTTTATTCATTCCCTGGGTAAGGCCAGGCATAATAACTCCTCTACTCAGCATGAGCTGTTATGAGGAATGTGGACATTCAAGTAGCTCAATTTCTTCGACCATTTGTTCTCCCATGGTTAAGGTAACTAAAGGATAATCACAGTTGTTCTTCAGAGGAAAATCTAAATGCGTTTTTCAATAGAGATATAGTGTGCATCATTTTAGTATATTACTTTCTCTTCTTTTCCCCCTGTACTTTAACTTGATTTTGTTTTACATGTTTATGATAACATTATATATGCATTATTGTATCTTGTTTTTATTTCGTAAGTAAAATAAGCATTCCTTAGATTATTAACAAATTATTATTATTTTTAAAAAATTATTTTTAAAGTAATTTCAATATTTATATAGTAGTCTATTAAAAAGATACACTACAGTTTACTTAATCATAATCTGTTTTCAAATTTGGCACCCTCATGAATTACTGAAAGACTGAAATGCAGAGGGTGGTTTTTTTTAATATTTGTGATTGATTTATCATCAGTTTATTTATTTATTTATTTTTACCATAAGTTTACTTTAAGGAATAATTAATATGTAAAATTTTATTATTTATTTATTTTAAACAGACATTTCATTTATTTCAACATCATCACTAGGATTATATGTAAAATTTTAATATTCTTCAAAGATACATAGAGTCTGACTGCTTTCCAAAAGAATTATATAGATTTAAAATCTTCACCAGCAATGTGTGAGAGTTTCTGCTTTGCTTCATTCTAACCAGCACTCTAAGTTATCTTAAAAAAACATACACACACAATCCTTTGTTGGTTCCATAGGAGAAAAAAATGTGTTTTTAGCTATTTAAATTTGCATTCCTCCTTATATCTCTATAGGGTGTAGCTATATATCGATTGGGGCTTGTTTTAATGGCAACATTGTTTGGACCATTCAATGTGTCCACAATTAATATAGCTTCATGATTTGATTATTCTGAATGGCAAACTTGGAAACCAGAAAAATTACTCAGAAAAAAAGCATATACTTAGCATAATTAAATGATCCAGAGGCTTAAGTGATTCAATATCCAGTTATTTAAGTTGTTTTTATTTTATGTCTAAGACATTTATCTTTCTTACTCCTCACACCATACAAAAAAAATTTCCTATTCATGTTTATTACATTTTTTTCTCTATTCTAACAGATAATGAAAGAACGGAGAAGAACTTTTTATTGCAATTCCTGCTTTCTTGAGTTTGTGCATTTCTTCCCACCTGAGAAGAATTTTATATTTTGATATAGATTGTCTCTTCATTTTTGTCTTTTCTTATTTTGATGTTTTGTTTTGTTTTTTTTCTCATGAGTAATACCCACTGAGACCAGGCTTATTATTATAACCTACGCCTCTGAATGTTAAATTGGCTTCTTGGACTGGATTTTAAGTACTCATTTAAGAAGTTGGGCAGGATTTCACAGATGATGATNCAACTAGTTGGAGAAGAAATTAAAAGTTTCATAGCAGTAGAAAAATGACTGATTAGCTATGTGAAAGTATAGTCTCTAAAGAGTGTATCAAATTCTATGGAAAAAACCTGTTATGTTCTTTCTTACAAGAAGTATTTTACAGTCAAAATTTCCCTGCCTCTGGATATTCCCCACAAAAGGCTGGTTAGACTTTTATGTTATTGAGATGCTCTGTGTATTCATTTATATAATGTAGGTCAGAATTTTGAAGGGAAGACTCCCCTGTCCCTTACTTTGTAGCATGAAATAAAGAAAACTTGTGGGACGAGATACATCTTCAAGGTGAATTTTCAAGCTTGTCTCAGAGTCTCCTGGGAGCCAAACACAACAACCGATATACTAAGAACTATTGGGTTGTTGGAAAAGTCATGACGTATTTTTTCTATGTTTTTCGTTGCAAAAATATATCATGACTTTTCTGACAACCCAATATAAGAGGCGCAGCAGAGATGTGAACAATATTCCATGGGAGCCAGAGGCCAGAACAGCTATTGCTGTCTGTGGAATCTAGGATGCTCCTTCCAGAAGGCATTTTTAACATTGGACCCTGTTTCCTGCAATCAGGTATTTGGCTACCAATCACCAGTTCACTATTCCCCAAAACTGTGTCAAAGTCTTAGACTCCTTTGAATGGAGTCACAGTTCTGCCACCCAAGTTGCTGCCTAGCTCTACCCCATCTTAGTCCCAAAATGAAACACCATTATAGTCAGTTGTACTCTCTGTCCCTCTCTGTCTCGTAATCATTTAGGCCTCTATCTTTATTCATCTTTCTACCTCCTCCCTACCAGTTCTTTCCAAGCCATGGACCTCAACCCACCCATCACTTTATTTTCCCTTTCTCTCAATTCTTACTACAGTCTGTACTATTGTGAGGAAACCATAAGGTCTATTCTCTTTAGAATATATTTTAATGTTTTTAGGAGAGGAAAAAGACAGAACCTAAAAAGATCTTGGTTCAAACAGAAGTATTGGGGGGTCACATAGCCTAGTTACAGTGTAATCTTTTTGGGCAGAGAGACTAAAAACCCAAACAATGAAGTTCTACTGAGGAGGAGGTTGTAAGACATTAGAGCCTTTATTGGCGTTCTAGCTGTTCAAAGAGCCCAGAAGACCATCGTTAGAAGAGGCGCTGGGCTACCTCTTTTGTTTCCCTGAGAAGAGAGCCGGAAGGGCAGGCTTGCTCCAAAGCATAGGAAAGGCCTGTTGATAGTGTGACATAGCAGGACTTGCAGTGGAAATGACTCCTCACCACAAGTGAATAATGACAGTAGGTAATGTGCCAGAGGAACACATTTTCTTAGAACTGGCTGAAGGTTACATATCTATCTTTATTCCTTATACAGAATAATTAACTAAATGATGTTTTTAAAATCAGAACCCAGTACTTTTACAGTTAGATAATGAATTAGGAGGCAAAGGCCTAGTTTCTGGCTCTGGTTCTAGATCTAGACTTGAGCAAATCACTTAACTTCACTGAGTTTTAATGTTTTTCACCAATGAAATGAAAATAATATCCACGCACTTACGGCTACTCTAGGTAAAAACACATAGAAATTGTTCATTTCAGCATCAAATAGTAATTAAGCTGCATTTTGGCAGCCCTGGCCCTGTCAATAGGGATGAAGGAAGGAATAAAAATAGATAAAAATCTCTGTCCCTGGAGGCTCATTAACTAGTGTAATCGACCAGGTCACATTGACACATTTTAGTTTTTCACTCTGCTTAGCCACATTTTTTTATTTTTTATGAAATGCATGTTTGCCGAATAACTGTTGTACTTGAGAGGTGCTTACAATTGTTATCAAATCTACAGATTGATTATTGGACCCCATGATGGGTGGAACAGAAATAAGGAGGCTGAATTCCAGACTGGATTTTGCTGCATGCTAGCTTTGGGACTATAAAAAATAACCTTGCCTTATAGACAATTCTGTACATGAGTGAGTTGGATTGTGTGATCTCTAAGACTCCTTTTAGCTTTCAAATGTGCAGTTTTATGTACTTTCACAGGGATCACCACCTTCTTGGTGACAGCTGGCGTGGTGCCTAAGAACTCGCCAGCTCTCAGGATATGCCTTGCAAATTCTACCAAATTAGATGTTGACAAAAGTCACCATGTCATACTCTAGAGAGTGACTACAGGTCACTTTCTGTCACCCCCTTGTTATTTCAATTGTTCCCTATTAGATTACACATTTCTTCAAGGTAGGAATCAAGAAGTGTGTAATATATGTTATAGTCTGGATCAGGTAAACTCATTGGGTATCAGAAGCCTGGATTTGCATTTGAACATTCTATAATTATCTATATTTCCCCCTGGGGTAGGTCAAATTCTGCCTGTACAGATTTATATTATTAGTTTAACAAATTAACCCCTTTTATATATCGTGAAAATATAAAATTTCAGCACTCATCAGAATGATTTGTTCATCCAGATTAACAAAGTTTTGTTATACTTGTATAAAAAGAGAATGACAACCTTGTAAATATTAGTTCTTAATATGCAGAGTACAGGTGTATCTAGCCCAAGTACTACAATACCAGAGATGACAATAAATCCCCAAAGTTTCCAAGAGCCTAGTTTTACAGTCAAATGGATGAAATGCAATTCAGGGAGTTGGAGACAATGAAGCAGTGTTACAGTACAGTTAGCATGTGTTCTGGGACCAGACTACCTGCATTTGAAGCCAAGCTTTGCTACTTACTGTGGGTGACCCTGGACAAGTTACTTTATCTCTCTGAGCCTCAGTTTCCTCATTTGTCAAGAGGAGGTGATGATAGTGCTAACTTCAAAGAATAAAATAAATTAATATTTGTAAAATGGTTAGAACAGGGCCTGGCAAAGAGAAAGTACTTTAGAATTTGGGCTTATTATCCAGGAGGGGGTTGAAGGGAGAGGAAATAGAATAACAGATACATCACAGAGAGAGGCTGCTGGTAAAGGGGGATAAGAAATTGGACCACATTTACGGAAACGGGGGGAAAAAAATCAAGCAGTTAAGCACAGGTGTTTCTGTGTATTTTATTTCCCAAGATAAGGGGAGTGTGAAATATTTGAAGGTGGATGGAATGGAGCCAGTAAACAGAAAGATGGAAGAGGGATGGTATAGCTGTGGGGGCAGGATGATGTGTAACAAGAACACAGGTAACTAGAGGTGCTGGGCGGTCAGGTCATTATCAAATAGTTTTCTCTGTATTCCTCGGGAATTCAGCTAGCCTTTATAATATGTTA